TTTGTCTACCTGACCTGGATTTTTCAGGTCGGGTCGGGTCGGGTCACAGGTTGACCTGACCTGATTCGGAGCTCTAGATTTGTGTTGTTATTTAAAACAATTATTAATAGATGTGTCATGTTGCTTTGTAGGAGTCTTTAACTGAAGACAGACCAAAGAAAACAATTTCCGACTGGGTTTGCATCACAATTGCACTGATAGTAGTTAATGATGAAGACACCGAGGAAATAACAAGACTCAAAAAATATTTATATAGAGTAATGATACCTTTGTAAGTATCGGTTAAGGTTTTATTATCATTCATTAATTCATTGTTGTGATTATTTTTTTCATCTTACAGAATCGAGTCATTCCTTAAACCTATTTTTTTTTTTTTTAAAAGTGCGGTAGTTTTGCAAAATCTTTATTAATAATATAAAATATAAAAAATTACATAAAACAGAAGTTACGAAAATCTCTATCTAAAATAATAAAAAATACTATCTTAAATCAAAACTGACCCTGCACTTTTCCAGAATCAAATATAAAATAAAAACTTTACATCATCACCTTCCAGTAAAACGACCAGAGAATGGAAAGGGCTTGGTCCCTACTACACCAAAAATTTGACCAATGCGATTCTAAGCAGATCATCTTAGAAATTAAATCAGTGGAAGAAAAGTTAGCATATAAAGAGTGAAACTGGTAACTAGACGCCTCTGTATAAGTACGTTTAAGTACATTCATTAAATCATGTGATTTTTCAAAGTCTTTGAAAGTGGAGCATCTATCTATTCAAATGGATTGAGTTTGGGTAAAGATAAAATGCATAAAGTTTGAGATTGCCACCAATATGGAATTCTTTGAGTTGAGATTCGAGTGTACGAAGTTATACAATTCGGAAGGAATAATTCCTTTGATCAGGTCCACGAAGGTGAAAGTATTTGCTAACGATAAGAACTAAATATCTAATATTTCTACAAGAAGAGTTTTGTGGTTGCAGCCAGCTGTGGATATAAAGTGCATTACGTGAACTTGGTCTAAATCAACTTTCAAAAGTTGTCTAATGAAGGGTTTATTATCACTAAAGATGTACAGCAATTGATTTCAAATTTACAAAATGTTGCAACATAAGCTAAAATTAGTTGCAACATATGTTGCAACATTATAAGTTGCAACATATATAGGTTAAAACTAATTGCAATGTAAATTGCAACATTAAACGTTGCAACATATTAATTACAATTCCCATCTTTAATTGTCACCCATGTGCCATCCCAGTACAAAGACATTTTTGTTTTTATTTTGATAGATGGCGGAAAGTCATAATTCAATGATACAATATGTCGAAAATGAGCAACAGTATCTCGAGAAGAGTTATCCTTAAGAAATGCAGTTTGTAATACATCGTACCATTTAGGAGATTTTGGTGAGTGTGGAATGTCAGATCTGATACAGTGATCAAAAAACATAAACATTTGATTACCATCAGAGTTCACTAGTTGTTCAATAAAAAGTAATGAATATTATCTTAGGTCATTGGTAATAGTTCTATAGTTGGTTAGAATAAATGATGATATCAGCGTCTTCCCACTAAGAATAAGATTAGGTTGTATGTCTTCTGGGTAAAGATGGTACAGCAATTGATTTCAAATTTACAAAATGTTGCAACATAAGCTAAAATTAGTTGCAACATATGTTGCAACATTACATATATAGGTTAAAACTAATTGCAACGTAAGTTGCAACATTAAAAGTTACAACATATTAATTACAGTTCCCATCTTTACTTCTGGGTTAAAATTAAGATCTAACTGTTTCCAGTCACAAAGTAGGCATGAGAGCCAGTCTTTGAACTTGGAGGTATTTTCGTAAGGCCATTCAATAAGGGGTGATTTGTGGAGTCATTCCTTATATTGTAATTGTTGAATCTGAATTTTGATCGTATTATCCAGAAAGCCGGTGTCATTCATCATATAAAGGAGAGCTTCGCTATGTGCTGTCAACAAACTTTGATATAGATCCGTCAAGTTATAAAACAGATGTGAATAAAAAATCGAAGAAGGTATATCACATGATAATTTGAGTTTTTTCTTCATAAAAGTAAGAAATGGTGAAGTAATTTGCTTGCACTGTTATTTAGTGAAATATGTCAATTGGGAATAATATTCAATTCATAGGAAGAGAACTGAATTATAAATGTAAATTAATTGTTTATCTGTAATTCTCTTGGGATACATAATGGCTATCACTGACTTGATCTCAGTCGTAAGTGATTTGCTGATAATGTTTTATTCGATCCGAGTAATATATAAACCCCTAGATATCTAATAGACTCATTGGTAGTGAGTGGATAGATGGTTGTCGAGCCATTAATGGATGGTAAAGTAATAGGTTGACACAACCTGTCTTTATTTGTTAAGAGTACAGATTTGTCCCAATTGACTTTGATGAAGTTTAAGTCATAAAAACTATCAGCGATTTTCATAATTTCTGTAAGGTTTTCTCAAGATTGTGCAATCCACAATGTGTCATCCATGTAGGCAAGTGTAGGGATTTTCACTAAAGTTGTTGATATAGCACTAGTGGAGACATCTGGTTTCCACTGATGAGTCATATTGTATCCCAGAGAAGAGTTGTGTATTCTACATAACAAAGGATCATAGTAAATGCACCAAAGAAGAGGAGATATTATTTCTCCTTGATTGATATCAGACACAACTCTGTATGGGTCAGTATTTCCAAAGAAAGTAAAGACCTGGTTGTACCGATTTCCAAACATTTTGAGGATAAATCTAATAAAATTGAAAGGGATGCGAAGCCGTTCAAGTGCTCTTACGAGCATGAACAAGTTTACTCAATCGTAAGCTTTAGATATATCTTGTGATAGCACCCAGAGATCTTTGTTGTTCGTAATAGTGTCAAATTTAATGTTGTCTACTATACGAAATGGTTCGAAAGTCGATTTATACAGAAGTCTAGCGAAGTTGAGTCCCTTGAGCATGTTGTACTGAATAATAATTGTTGACAAACGTCGGTTGAGTAACTTTCTGAGGGCTTTCTGAGGGCATTCTAAAAGTGTGATGGGTCAAGTATTATTTAGGTCATATTCCCATGGTTTTGGTTTTGGTATCGGGTAAATGAATGCGATATTCCACCGATGTGAAAGAGTCGACTCTGATAGGCAATAACGGATGATAAACCAAAGTAATTTATTCGTATGTGAACCAAGGTGTTTTAACATCTCATTTGATACTTTGGAGGGACCAGGAGCTTTACCATTTGGTAATGTAGCAAGAATGTCGTACCATTCCTCGGCTGTAGATAGAGTCATGAGTCCATCATATATAGAGCTGTTGAAACTATCTATTGGTTTATACAGTCCTAGCCAAAAGTAATGGCGGTTATTATTTTTTACTTATCAAAATTTTTTTCTAATTAACCTCAAGAAA